TATCATGGGAAGATTACCTAATTACTAAAATACCCTGTATTTACGCTAAAAGTGCTCTATTTTCGCTGAAAACGCTAAATCATAGAGATAAGGCTAAGTATTTGTGACACTCATATCCTGCTGTGTGTTTATCCGTTTGGGGCGTATTATATCTCGTTGGAAAGATAGATCGGAGCTCTAAAGATATTGTTCCAACTTCATTTACATTACATTAATTAAAAGTTACAGATTAACGATATATTCACAAATGTTTCTGATTTCACTCCGAACTCGTGTAGAATTTGATGCGATCATATCTTGCTCTATTTTGTGCCATTGAAAGCGTTTAATATCTCGATGGAAAGATCCTAACGAGTTCTAAAACCTTTCTTTAGGCGCTGGTTTCAAAATATCAAGGGAGGACTGCCTAATTACTAAAATACACTGTATTTACGCTAAAAGTGCTCTATTTTCGCTGAAAACGCTAAATCATAGAGATAAGGCTAAGTATTTGTGACACTCATATCTTGCTCTGTGTTTATCCGTTTGGATCGTATTATATCTCGTTGGAAAGATTGATCAGAGCTCTAAATTTATTGTTCCAAATTCATTACAATGCATTAATTAAAAGTTACATATTAACGATATATTCACAAATGTTTCTGATTTCACTCTGAACTCGTGTAGAATTTGATGCGATCATATCTTGATCTATTTTGTGCCGTTGAAAGCGTTTAATATCACGATGGAAATATCATACCGAGTTCTAAAACGTGTCTTCAGGCGCTGGTTTCAAAATATAAATGGTTGATTGCCTAATTACTAAAATACACTGTATTTACGCTAAAAGTGCTCTATTTTAGCTGAAAACGCTAAATCATAGAGATAAGGCTAAGTATTTGTGACACTCATATCCTACTGTGTGTTTATCCATTTGGAGCGTATTATATCTCGTTGGAAAGATAGATCGGAGCTCAAAAGCTATTGTTTCAACTTCATTTACAATGCATTAATTAAAAGTTACAGATTAACCATATATTCACAAATGTTTCTGATTTCACTCCGAACTCGTGTAGAATTTGATGCGATCATATCTTGCTCTATTTTGTGCCGTTGAAAGCGTTTAATATCTCGTTGGAAAGATCCTACCGAGTTCTAAAACTTGTATTCAGGCTCTGGTTTCAGAATATCAAGGGATGATTGCCTAATTACTAAAATACACTGTATTTACGCTAAAAGTGCTCTATTTTCGCTGAAAACGCTCAATCATAGAGATAAGGCTAAGTATTTGTGACACTCATATTTTGCTGTGTGTTTATCCGTTTGGAGCGTTTTATATCTCGTTGGAAAGATAGATCGGAGCTCTAAAGCTATTGTTCCAACTTCATTTACAATGCATTAATTAAAAGTTACAGATTAACCATATATTCACAAATGTTTCTGATTTCTCTCCGAACTCGTGTAGAATGTGATGCGATCATATCATGCTCTATATTGTGCCGTTGATAGCGTTTAATATCTCGTTGAAAACATCTTACCGAGTTCGAAAACATGTCTTCAGGCTCTGGTTTCATAATATCAAGGGATGATTGCCTAATTACTAAAATACACTGTATTTACGCTAAAAGTGCTCTATTTTCGCTGAAAACGCTGAATCATAGAGATAAGGCTAAGTATTTGTGACACTCATATCTTGCTGTGTGTTTATCCTTTTGGACCGTATTATATCTCGTTGGAAATATAGATCGGAGATCTAAAGCTATTGTTCCAACTTTATTTAAAATGCATTAATTAAAAGTTACAGATTAACCATATATTCACAAATGTTTCTGATTACACTCCGAACTCGTGTAGAATTTGAGGTGATCATATCTTTCTCTATTTTGTGCCGTTGAAAGCGTTTAATATCTCGTTGGAAAGATCCTACCGAGTTTTAAAACTTGTCTTCAGGCACTGGTTTCAGAATATCAAGGGATGATTGCCTAATTACTAAAATACACTGTATTTACGCTAAAAGTGCTCTATTTTCGCTGAAAACGCTCAATCATAGAGATAAGGCTAAGTATTTGTGACACTCATATCTTACTGTGTGTTTATCCGTTTGGAGCGTTTTATATCTCGTTGGAAAGATATATCGGAGCTCTAAATCTATTGTTCCAACTTCATTTACAATGCATTAATTAAAAGTTACAGATTAACCATATATTCACAAATGTTTCTGATTTCACTCCGAACTCGTGTAGAATTTGATGCGATCATATCTTGCTCTATTTTGTGCCGTTGAAAGCGTTTAATATCTCGTTAGAAAGCTCCTACCGATTTCTAACACTTGTCTTCAGGCTCTGGTTTCAGAATATCAAGGGAGGATTGCCTAATTACTAAAATACACTGTATTTACGCTAAAAGTGCTCTATTTTCGCTGAAAACGCTCAATCATAGAGATAAGGCTAAGTATTTGTGACACTCATATCTTACTGTGTGTTTATCCGTTTGGAGCTTATTATATCTCGTTGGAAAGATAGATCGGAGCTCTAAAGCTATTGTTCCAACTTCATTTACAATGCATTAATTAAAAGTTACAGATTAACCATATATTCACAAATGTTTCTGATTTCACTCCAAACTCGTGTAGAATTTGATGCGATCATAACTTGCTATATTTTGTGCCATTGAGAGCGTTTAATATCTCGTTGGAAAGATTTTACCGAGTTCTAAAACTTGTCTTCAGGCGCGGGTTTCAAAGTATCAAGGGATGATTGCCTAATTACTAAAATACACTGTATTTAAGCTAAAAGTACTCTATTTTCGCTGAAAACGCTAAATCATAGAGATAAGCCTAAGTAATTGTGACACTCATATCTTGTTGTGTGTTTCTCCATTTGGAGCGTATTATATCTCGTTGGAAAGATATATCGGAGCTCTAAAGCTATTAACCATATATTCACAAATGTTTCTGATTTCACTCCGAACTCGTGTAGACTTTGATGCGATCATATCTTGCTTTATTTTGTGCCGTTGAAAGCTTTTAATATCTCGTTGGAGAGATCTTACCGAGTTCTCAAACGTGTCTTCAGGCGCTGGTTTCAAAATATCAAGGGATGATTGCCTAATTACTAAAATACACTGTATTTACGCTAAAAGTGCTCTATTTTCGCTGAAAACGCTAAATCATAGAGATAAGGCTAAGTATTTGTGACACTCATATCTTGCTGTGTGTTTATCCATTTGGAGCGTATTATATCTCGTTGGAAAAATAGATCGGGGCTCTAAAGCTATTTTTCCAACTTCATTCACAATGCATTAATTAAAAGTTACAGATTAACCATATATTCACAAATGTTTCTGATTTCACTCTGAACTCGTGTAGAATGTGATGCGATCATATCATGCTCTATTTTGTGCCGTTGAAAGCGTTTAATATCTCGTTGGAAAGATCTTACCGAGTTCTAAAACTTTTCTTCAGGCTCTGGATTCAGAATATCAAGGGATGATTGCGTAATTACTACAATACACTGTATTTACGCTAAAAGTGCTCTATTTTCGCTGAAAACGCTAAATCATAGAGATAAGGCTAAGTATTTGTGACACTCATATCTTGCTGTGTGTTTATCCATTTGGAGCGTATTATATCTTGTTGGAAAGATAGATCGGGGCTCTAAAGCTATTTTTCCAACTTCATTCACAATGCATTAATTAAAAGTTAGAGATTAACCATATATTCACAAATGTTTCTATTTTCACTCCGAACTCGTGTAGAATTTGATGCGATCATATCGTGCTCTATGTTTTGCCGTTGAAAGCGTTTAATATCTCGTTGGAAAGATCTTACCGAGTTCTTAAACTTATCTTCAGGCGCTGGTTTCAAAATATCAAGGGATGATTGCCTAATTACTAAAATACACTGTATTTACGCTTAAAGTGCTCTATTTTCGCTGAAAACGCTAAATCATAGAGATAAGGCTAAGTATTTGTGACACTCATATCTTGCTGTGTGGTTATCCGTTTGGAGCGTATTATATCTAGTTGGAAAGATAGATCTGAGCTCTAAAGCTATTGTTCAAACTTCATTTACAATGCATTAATTCAAAGTTACAGATTAACCATATATTCACAAATGTTTCTGATTTCACTCCGAACTCGTGTAGAATTTTATGTGATCATATCTTGCTCTATTTTGTGCCGTTGAAAGCGTTTAATATGTCGTTGGAAAGATCTTACCTAGTTCTAACACTGGTTTTCAGGCTCTGGTTTCAAAATATCAAGGGAGGATTGCCTAATTACTAAAATACACTGTATTTACGTTAAAAGTGCTTTATTTTTGCTGAAAACGCTAAATCTTAGAGATAAAGCTAAGTATTTGTGACACTCATATCTTGCTGTGTGTTTATCCATTTGGAGCGTATTATATCTCGTTGGAAAGATAGATCGGAGCTCTAAAGCTATTGTTCAAACTTCATTTACAATGCATTAATTAAAAGTTACAGATTAACCATATATTCACAAATGTTTCTGATTTCACTCCAAACTCGTGTAGAATTTGATGCGATCATATCTTGCTATATTTTGTGCCATTGAGAGCGTTTAATATCTCGTTGGAAAGATTTTACCGAGTTCTAAAACTTGTCTTCAGGCGCGGGTTTCAAAGTATCAAGGGATGATTGCCTAGTAACTAAAATACACTGTATTTAAGCTAAAAGTACTCTATTTTCGCTGAAAACGCTAAATCATAGAGATAAGCCTAAGTATTTGTGACACTCATATCTTGTTGTGTGTTTCTCCGTTTGGAGCGTATTATATCTCTTTGGAAAGATATATCGGAGCTCTAAAGCTATTTTTTAACTTCATTTACAATGCATTAATTAAAAGTTACAGATTAACCATATATTCACAAATGTTTCTGATTTCACTCCGAACTCGTGTATAATTTGATGCGATCATATCTTGCTCTATTTTGTGCCGCTGAAAGCGTTTAATATCTCGTTGGAGAGATCTTACCGAGTTCTCAAACTTGTCTTCAGGCGCTGGTTTCAATTTTTTTTTTTTTTTGGATAAACTGTAAGTATATATATCCAGAAAAATAGCATAGTACAATGCATCACGTGTACAATCAAGGTGCATATCCCATGACCAGAGATACCACAAATTCAAAAAGAACTCACACTCACACAATCAACATTTTGAAAATCACAAACGGAACAACACAATCCAACAAACCTAGCACAACACAAACTAGGTATCCCTAACTCAACATCCAAAGAAAAGTCGGAAGGGAGTAGTAAACTTTGAGGCAAAGCAAACCTCCCCTTTTTTCTTTTTAACTCCCGGTAATCTCTCAAGACATTCGGTGGTGAAAGTTAGGCGTTTTTTGTCCAAATCATCCGTGAGTCGAAGAAAAGAGTCCACTCTAATCACACTGACTTCCACACATTTAAACGGTTTAACAAATAGCCTGAACTTCTTTCCATTAGTCACCTCACATTTGGTTACTACATCGTCTTGATGCAACTCGGTTTCATCCATTACTACTCTCTCGTTGTCTTCCAAAAAGACCTCGTCGTCGTCATCTTCAGAAGTCTCATGTTCCACTCGCGTACCCTTTAACCCCTGGGCAGTGGCAGTACCCCCGGGCGGGTCGGTAGCCAAAGTTAAAGCAGCAAGCTCGGGAACAACCCCAATAGGCCCCTGGGCAGTAGCCCCGGTCGGGTCAGGGGCGCACCCGGTCGGGTTGGGCACAGCAGCATCTATGGACCCGGTCGGGCCAGGGGCAAACCCGGTCGGGTTTGACCCCTGGACAGTAGCATCCGGCCCAGAAATCTTGGTCCCAGCTTGTTCCTTATTCTCCAAACTCCGTTCATTTTCAGTTTCCCCATCCTCCTGTACGGCAAGCTTCTTACAAGTAAAAGGGTGGTGCCCAAATTCTTTGCAATGAAAGCAAAAGCTAGGAAAAGTTTCATAAACTACATTTTGTTTGATTACCTTTTGGGAAGGTAGCCGTATATGAAAATGTAGTGGTGGAGGCTTTGAAACATCAACCTCGATTAGCACTCTAGCAAAATCATTATTCACCCTCTCTTGAGTAATCTTGTCGGTGGTTATAGGGACCCCGACCATAGATGCCACCTCACTCATAGCCTCATCGTTCCATAGACTCATTGGTAGTTTAGGGAACTTGATCCAAATAGGAATTTTAAGAAATTCCTCATCCTCAAAAGTGAAGTCCCCCGAAAGTTCTTTAAGCATTAGGAGCTTCCCAAACACGGTGTAAGGTCCCCCATGTAGTACTTTCGATCTATCATCCTCATCTTGAAACTTAAAAATCGGCCAATCCTTACTATGTGACCGTACAAGACATTTGACACCCCATGTAGCTTTCAGATCGTGAACCGCTTTGAGTCCGGGGAATTTTCCGGTGAAGTGTCCAACTAGGCAAAACCCCCACATTTCAATCATAGAAGGCAAAATACGATCCCCAAAGTCTAAAGTATCTCCTTTGGGGGGGACATATCTCAATTTGATTCCATGTCTCGGGTCACGGTTGTCTTTAAATAAAGCACTCCAAGGCGCGGGAGTGGCAGTTTTATTGTTTACTACAATTTGCCCAGTCGCATTACTTCCAGGCAGTTGTGAGTCAAATTTACTCAAAGAAGTTGCAGCAGTTCCATGTGGTTTCCCAACAGCAAAAGGCTCTTGTGCAGGAGGTGGAACCACACTCCCAGCTAGAGAAGAACCTGCAGCACGAGGTTCCCCAGCAACAGTTGGCTTCGCTGCAGGAATTGCTGAAATTCCGGGAACAATTTTCCCAGCAGCAATCCCCCCAAAGTAGCTGGTGTATCTGCACCTTTAATAGCCATAGGACCAGCTTTACTCACTGGTATCTTCACATAGTTATCAGAATCCAGAGTAGGGAACTCAGCCTCCGTACCTTCCAACACAGAAAATCTAGATGAGGATCTAGTAGCTCGGCCAACAGTAGCCTCCCCTGAAACCTGGTTCTTTCTCGCCATAGCGCGAAGGTTGGAGAGCTTTACCCAGTTACGTGGATTCTCAAACCAATCTCAAAAGTAATAGCAAGACAAACACACAAAGAGGCAACTGAAAGTACACGCATAAGTCAATGCGTAGAAAGTAAATCCCCAAAATCACAGCTGCGTAACGAGGTTACAGAGCTACCTTTGACTAACAGAAAGTAAAACCGCAGGTGATAAAGCACGGAATCAAATTCATCGGTCGAAATAAACATCACATACAAGCTTATATCAGTTGAACCCAACGAAATCACAGAAGGACGACCAAATCGAAGCCAGACGGATTAGATTCTAGCCAAGAACTACCACAATACATCAGATTGAACCTCAGAAAAAGTATGACCCTCAACTCAGCAGCACAAAACTAATTAACAGTAAGAATCGGAATAGCAGAGCGAACCAAACCGAGAACAGGGTCGTTCGTAGTTCGCCGATTAGGTTTGCATTCTTCGTATTTTCACTAACTGTCGCCTTCCAAACTGAGATTCAGGTGAATCCGACTATCAATCAGCAAGAAGAAGCACGGATGCAAACGGAAATCACAGAAGACGGGAAACGCAGGCCATAGATTGACCGGAAATCGAGCTAGGTCGGAGACCCAGTAGAGAGACTCTCTCAAACGATTTTCGTCTTCAAAGGCGCTGGTTTCAAAATATCAAGGGATTCAGGCGCTGGTTTCAAAATATAAAGGGATGATTTCCTAATTACTAAAATACACTGTATTTACGCTAAAAGTGCTCTATTTTCGCTGAAAACGCTAAATCATAGAGATAAGCCTAAGTATTTGTGACACTCATATCTTGCTGTGTGTTTATCCATTTGGAGCGTATTATATCTCGTTGGAAAGATAGATAGGGGCTCTAAAGCTATTGTTCCAACTTCATTCACAATGCATTAATTAAAAGTTACAGATTAACCATATATTCACAAATGTTTCTGATTTCACTCCGAACTCGTGTAGAATGTGATGCGATCATATCATGCTCTATTTTGTGCCGTTGAAAGCGTTTAATATCTCGTTGGAAAGATCTTATCGAGTTCTAAAACTTTTCTTTAGGCGATGGATTCAGAATATCAAGGGAGGATTGCCTTATTACTAAAATACACTGTATTTACGCTAAAAGTGCTCTATTTTCGCTGAAAACGCTAAATCATAGAGATAAGGCTAAGTATTTGTGACACTAATATCTTGCTCTGTGTTTATCCGTTTGGATCGTATAATATCTCGTTGGAAAGATTGATCAGAGCTCTAAATTTATTGTTCCAAATTCATTTACAATGCATTAATTAAAAGTTACATATTAACGATATATTCACAAATGTTTCTGATTTCACTCCGAACTCGTGTAGAATTTGATGCGATCATATCTTGATCTATTTTTTGCCGTTGAAAGCGTTTAATATCACGTTGGAAATATCATACCGATTTCTAAAACGTGTCTTCAGGCGCTGGTTTCAAAATATCAATGGTTGATTGCCTAATTACTAAAATACACTGTATTTACGCTAAAAGTGCTCTATTTTAGCTGAAAACGCTAAATCATAGAGATAAGGCTAAGTATTTGTGACACTCATATCCTGCTGTGTGTTTATCCATTTGGAACGTATTTTATCTCTTTAGAAAGATAGATCGGAGCTATAAAGCTATTGTTCCAACTTCATTTACAATGCATTAATTAAAAGTTACAAATTAACCATATATTCACAAATGTTTCTGATTTCACTCCGAACTCGTGTAGAATTTGATGCGATCATATCTTGCTCTATTTTGTGCCGCTGAAAGCGTTTAATATCTCTTTGGAAAGATCTTACCTAGTTCTAAAACTTTTCTTCAGGCGCTGGTTTCAAAATATCAAGGGAAGATTGCCTAATTACTAAAATACCCTGTATTTACGCTAAAAGTTCTCTATTTTCGCTGAAAACGCTAAATCATAGAGATAAGGCTAAGTATTTGTGACACTCATATCCTGCTGTGTGTTTATCCGTTTGGGGCGTATTATATCTAGTTGGAAAGATAGATCGGAGCTCTAAAGCTATTGTTCCAACTTCATTTACATTACATTAATTAAAAGTTACAGATTAACGATATATTCACAAATGTTTCTGATTTCACTCCGAACTCGTGTAGAATTTAATGCGATCATATCTTGCTCTATTTTGTGCCATTGAAAGCGTTTAATATCTCGATGAAAAGATCCTAACGAATTCTAAAACTTTTCTTTAGGCGCTGGTTTCAAAATATCAAGGGAGGATTCCCTAATTACTAAAATACACTGTATTTACGCTAAAAGTGCTCTATTTTCGCTGAAAACGCTAAATCATAGAGATAAGGCTAAGTATTTGTCACACTCATATCTTGCTCTGTGTTTATCCGTTTGGATCGTATTATATCTCGTTGGAAAGATTGATCAGAGCTCTAAATTTATTGTTCCAAATTCATTTACAATGCATTAATTAAAAGTTACATATTAACGATATATTCACAAATGTTTCTGATTTCACTCCGAACTCGTGTAGAATTTGATGCGATCATATCTTGATCTATTTTTTGCCGTTGAAAGCGTTTAATATCACGTTGGAAATATCATACCGATTTCTAAAACGTGTCTTCAGGCGCTGGTTTCAAAATATCAATGGTTGATTTCCTAATTACTAAAATACACTGTATTTACGCTAAAAGTGCTCTATTTTAGCTGAAAACGCTAAATCATAGAGATAAGGCTAAGTATTTGTGACACTCATATCCTGCTGTGTGTTTATCCATTTGGAACGTATTTTATCTCTTTAGAAAGATAGATCGGAGCTATAAAGCTATTGTTCCAACATCATTTACAATGCATTAATTAAAAGTTACAGATTAACCATATATTCACAAATGTTTCTGATTTCACTCCGAACTCGTGTAGAATTTGATGCGATCATATCTTGCTCTATTTTGTGCCGTTGAAAGCGTTTAATATCTCTTTGGAAAGATCATACCTAGTTCTAAAACTTTTCTTCAGGCGCTGGTTTCAAAATATCAAGGGAAGATTGCCTAATTACTAAAATACCCTGTATTTACGCTAAAAGTGCTCTATTTTCGCTGAAAACGCTAAATCATAGAGATAAGGCTAAGTATTTGTGACACTCATATCCTGCTGTGTGTTTATCCGTTTGGGGCGTATTATATCTCGTTGGAAAGATAGATCGGAGCTCTAAAGCTATTGTTCCAACTTCATTTACATTACATTAATTAAAAGTTACAGATTAACGATATATTCACAAATGTTTCTGATTTCACTCCGAACTCGTGTAGAATTTAATGCGATCATATCTTGCTCTATTTTGTGCCATTGAAAGCGTTTAATATCTCGATGAAAAGATCCTAACGAATTCTAAAACTTTTCTTTAGGCGCTGGTTTCAAAATATCAAGGGAGGATTGCCTAATTACTAAAATACACTGTATTTACGCTAAAAGTGCTCTATTTTCGCTGAAAACGCTAAATCATAGAGATAAGGCTAAGTATTTGTGATACTCATATCTTGCTCTGTGTTTATCCGTTTGGATCGTATTATATCTCGTTGGAAAGATTGATCAGAGCTCTAAATTTATTGTTCCAAATTCATTTACAATGCATTAATTAAAAGTTACATATTAACGATATATTCACAAATGTTTCTGATTTCACTCCGAACTCGTGTAGAATTTGATGCGAGCATATCTTGCTCTATTTTGTGTCGTTGAAATTGTTTAATATCTCGTTGGAAAGATCTTACCGAGTTCTAAAACTTGTTTTCAGGCGCTGGTTTCAAAATATCAAGGATGATTGCCTAATTACTAAACTACACTGTATTTACGCTAAAAGTGCTCTATTTTCGCTGAAAACGCTAAATCATAGGGATAAGGCTAAGTATTTGTGACACTCATATCTTGCTGTGTGTTTACCCGTTTGGAGCGTATTATATCTCGTTGGAAAGATAGATCGGAGGTCTAAAGTTATTGTTCCAACTTCATATACAATGCATTAATTAAAAGTTACAGATTAACGATATATTCACATATGTTTCTGATTTCACTCCGAACTCGTGTAGAATTTGATGCAATCACATCTTGCTCTATTTTGTGTCGTTCAAAGCATTTAATATCTCGTTGGAAATATCATACGGATTTCTAAAACTTGTCTTCAGACGTTGGTTTCAAAATATCAATGGATGATTGCCTAATTACTAAAATACACTGTATTTACGCTAAAAGTGCTGTATTTTCGCTGAAAACGCTAAATCATAGATCGGAGATCGGAGATCTAAAGCTATTGTTCCAAATTCATTTACAATGCATTAATTAAAAGTTACAGATTAACCATATATTCACAAATGTTTCTGATTTCACTCCGAACTCGTGTAGAATTTGATGCGATCATATCTTGCTTTAATTTTTGCCGTTGAAAGCGTTTAATATCTCGTTGGAAATATCTTACCGAGTTCTAAAACTTGTCTTCAGGCGCTGGTTTGAAAATATCAAGGGATGATTGCCTAATTACTAAAATACACTGTATTTACGCTAAAAGTGCTGTATTTTCGCTGAAAACGCTAAATCATAGAGATAAGGCTAAGTATTTGTGACACTCATATCTTGCTGTGTGTTTATCCATTTGGAGCGTATTATATCTCGTTGGAAAGATAGATCGGGGCTCTAAAGCTATTGTTCCAACTTCATTTACAATGCATTAATTAAAAGTTACAGATTAACCATATATTCACAAATGTTTTTTATTTCACTCCGAGCTCATGTAGAATTTGATGCGATCATATCTTGCTCTTCAGGCGCTGGTTTCAATTTTTTTGGATGAAAGGTAATTATATTAACACCCAAAAAATAACATCAAACGATGTATCAAAGTACTCAGAAAACACTACCTAAGCTAGGGTTAACTAACCTAGATATAATCAACCCAACCAACTAAATCAGTAAATACCAGGACAGTCCCCTGGATATCAAAATCAAAAATCACAAGTCAGGGAAAAAGAAAAAGTCCCTGCAAATCACAACATCGTCTCTAAACAAAAAGAACTCCTCCTGCCATCAATATCCCACGCACAAACACGCTCAAATTATTACGTCTGAGCAGCTTGGCGGTAACCGTAGCCAGCTAAGCGGGTCCTCTTCCCCAGAGGTTGGCTCAGGTTCCGCGTCATCCGTATCGTCCGTGTCGTCCGGTGTAGAGTTCTCCTGTTCTGGTGTGCCGGTCGGCCCCATTGGCACCACTTTCAGCTCAGTGGCACCCACAATATCATCCCGTGGTGTCTCCCCATCCTCGACTCTTAACTCTTCCGCTATTATTCTCGTGTGTGCCTGACTTATCTCTAACTGTACCTTTGCTGTTTCCTCATCAATTAGTCCTGTCTCCATGCCCTCAATCACAGTCTTCTCCTCCTTCTGTTCTCTAATCGTTTCTCGTTCTTTGGTTGCCAATTTCTTGCAAATAAATGGGTGATGCCCATATTCTTTGCAATGGAAACAGTAGTTCGGAAAGGTCTCATAAACCACATATTGATTGACTACTTTGCGGGAAGGTAGTCGAATGGGAAATGATAGCGGCGGTGGTTTGGAGACATCAACCTCAATCAACACCCTAGCATAGAAATGATTGCTCCTATCCTG